TTTCAAATAATATATATATTCGGAACAAGTTAAACGTATGTACAATAAAGTCTTCACACTATAGAGAGTATAAGCATTTCGTAAACGTTATATCAGTATATGTATAGTTCTCCTCTTCTTGTCAAAAGTTCACTTGGACCTGTTCAATTACTTTAGAATCTCAATTGACAAGCCGAACTATTTTCTCTAATACTATCGCAATATTAGTCTGGTTTGATTCACTTACGATTGTGGTCTTCTTTCTTCTGAAGATCCTACGTTCCTTTTGTTAAAGTGCACTCAGGCTGATTCAATTACTTTAGAATTTCGCTTTGACGGAATAAACTTATTTTTTCTTATTTCTTTTTCCACTGTTAGTTTCACTCGAATATATATTAAACGTTAGGCCTATCACTTTTACGTTACTTAATTTCACACCAACAATATTCTCTTTGCTTTTGTTTGTCTGCTGCTTCCCGCTCGTCTTACGCTATTTATATCTTTATTACATAATCGTCTGACCACTTTCTATATTCTCGATACCAATTAGTTATTAACAAAACCTTCTACAATTGTCTGCTTTTAACTCTTATTATAACAAAACTTAAAAATAATAAAATATTCACTCACAAATATAAATTAATCAGTAATATTTAAACCAAACAGTCTTTTATATCATGATACAGAAATAAAAATAGTCTAGTTGATAATAGGCGAGATACTGTATTTGCTCGAATATAATGCGTAACGAATTTTGAAAGGTTAAATCGCAGAAAATTTGTTTTTTATACATCAGTTGTACAAAATGTATTGAATAGTTTCTAAATACAGTAAACAACTATTGATGTAGTAAACATTTTTAGAAATTTTTCATTGATTTTTTTTACGTGTCAGTTTTACAAAATTTATTGAAACGTTTATACAAGAAGCTAATCATTCATCTTCACATAAATCTTCGTCATCACTACAATTGTCGCTACCATCGGATTTGCTTCATCCTCTTCTTATTCCCACAGCATGTCATCATCCGTCCCATCCATTGCAGTGGGTATGCAACATTTTTTTAAAACCTTTAATGATTTTCGGTGGCAACTACTAGTAAAATACCTAACAAAATTGTACGTGCGCGAATATAACGCGCAGTCAATGTTTCGGGAGGTATTTGGAGGAAGGAAAGTGCGCATTACATTCGGGAGCCCCCCAGTGACACAGCGGCATGTCTGCGGACTTATAACGCTAGAAACCGGGTTTCGATACCCGTGGTGGGCAGAGCACAGATAGCCCATTGTGTAGATTTGTACTTAATTACAAACAAACAATAGATTCGGGCAAATACGATATTACGTGACATCTATTATCAAATCATGGACCCACGCTTCACGAGCTTAAGCATCACACACCATTTTCAAATATGTTTGACCAACTACCGTGTATTTTAGTTAACTCACATAATTTATTATATGTTGGTAGTTTATATTTATTTACATTTTCTTTGCGTGTGTTGTACATTGATTATCCCTTTCTTTTTTTTATTTAATTATAAAGAAACAAAGCATTAATTGGATAAATCACTCTAATGTCTAATTGATTTTACAGTGAACGGTACTGGCAGTGTATCTACGTGAAGTTCCACTTTAACTGTTTTTTTTTGCTAGAATTATTACAGATTTTCTCACAGTAATGTGTTCCTGATAATATACATTATTATTTGTCAGTGTTTTAAGTATATTGTCAAAATACTGAACAGATACTGTGCCTTCAGACAGCTGATTCAATATAATATGTTTGAGTTGCTTAAGTTAATATTAGTCAAACAAACATGGCTGACAGTTTCATAAGAAGCGGAGGGTTATAATGAGATTACTGCTACTTCTATCACACTTTAGTAAATGTAATCCAAGGTTTTTAGAATGTTTCAAAGTAGATTTGGACACTATCACTGTTAATGGAAGTGAAAGAACAAACGTCACGTGTAAGATATATCGTCCAATAAAGTGGAAAACAAACGTCACGTGTAAGATATATCTTCCAGTGGAAATGAAAAACAAACGTCATGTGTAAGATATATCTTCCAGTGGAAATGAAAAACAAACGTCACGTGTAAGATATATCGTCCAGTGGAAGTGGAAAACGAACGTCACGTGTAAGATATATCGTCCAATGGAAGTGGAAAACAAACGTCATGTGTAAGATTGTTTGTTTGTTTGTTTTTTTAATTTCGCGCAAAGCTACACGAGGGCTATCTGCGCTAGCCGTCCCTAATTTAGCAGTGTAAGACTACAGGGAAGGCAGCTAGTCATCACCACCCACCGCCAACTCTTGGGCTACTCTTTTACCAACGAATAGTGGGATTGACCGTCACAGTATAACGCCCCCACGGCTGAAAGGGCGAGCATGTTTGATGTGACGGGGATTCGAACCCGCGACCGTCAGATTGCGAGTAGAGTGCCCTAACCACCTGGCCATGCCGGGCCCATGTGTAAGATATACCCTACAGTGGAAATGAAAAACAAACGTCACGTATAAGATATATCCTCCAATGGAAGTGGAAAACAAACATCACGTGTAAGATATATCGTCCAATGGAAGTGGAAAACAAACGTCACGTGTAAGATATATCCTCCAATTTCACATTTCAACCACAGAATAAGTTTTGCTTTCTTACACAATGTTAAAGAAAAAACTAAGGCCATCATGCATAATTCACTTTCATTAACATTGACCTTACATTGAATGATTACAACTCGTATATTTGCATCTACTGATTCAGTATTTACATTACATTTCCGTAAAATTAAGACATTGAAGAAGTTTGCTTCAGGAGACTTAAATCCGTTTACGATACCTTCAATAATCACGACCTCATTTCTAAGGTATCCAGTAAAAGACACTATCATGGTGTTTGCTGCCACTCTTTTTGGTGAACCTGCTGTAATGCCCTATTTGTGAATAACAACACAGAAGCGTCATCAGTAAGAATGCGTCAAGTATCATTTCTGTTTGTTCTTCTGTTGTTAAGCACAACGCTACACAATGGGCTATCTGTGATGTACACACTACTATCAAAACAAGATTTTTAGCGCGATAAGCTTTCAGACTTACCGCGGTGTGAGGGGGGGGGGGCAGTGAAGAATCATTAAACTTGGCACACCAAATTAGCAAAACGAGCTAAAGAACTTGAAACTCATTGAATGGTAGCGGAAACAGACTGTTTCGTAATTCTCTATAATTTCCAAACTTTTGCTTAGATACATCCCTTCATGTTGAGATATATACAATAAAGGATAAAACAGTTGGTATATAAATTCAGAACTAAATATTATAAAAATATTTTTAAATCATTTTATAATGGGTGCTGTTCGTAAGAGTTTACTTTTTAATTTCCTTTTTCGTTCCATATTTTTCGTAAATAATGATACGTCAACTCTTTCCTTTTCGTTCGCTTCTGGTACACATGCTGAAACACATTGATCATTCTTACTGTCAATAAACCAGGGCAAAGGATGTGAGGAACGTTCATTTCCTATGGTTTTCATGGTCCAGTCTCTGTTTTAAAACTCTACCACAACCAACAGCTTTTCAGCTAAACAAAGCCACACCATTTCCTGGATGTTTCAGCATGGTTGTGCTGTCAGTCGCAGGTAAGTGACAAATTAAAAACAAAGTTACCATATATTCTAGTTATATCAAAAGGAAACGCTGATGAAGTACAAACAAATATTCTATAAGTGATTAAAACAAGATACTTGGCAAACTACCGATAAAAATAAACGCTAATACACGAAAACCACACACATACATACATATCCTATTGTGATTTATATGTAAAACATATGCAGATGAAGAGGCGGTCTGTTATTATCATATTATGCTATTTACACTTATGGCTCCAAATACGCTGAAAAATAGCTTCGAACAGGTAGATATAGTTACAGATAGCAAGAGTTTTATTATTTATAATGTTTCGATACAAATGTCATCACATTTGAAAACTAGATGAAAGCAGTTCCCGAGTTTCTCCAGATTTGTTGAAACTTTGATATTCCGGCAAATGTATTTCCTCTTTCGAGAATAAATTAACTCCGAACTGATTCATGCATAAATTGTGATTTGTCTCTGGTACCACAATAACACTCGATTAAGGTATTCTCGTTAGCATGGGGATCATTACACTGCGCGGTACATAATGAGTTATACTTTGTACACCTCTATTTCAAATTTTGCAAGCCTTGTTGGTTTATTTAAATGGTCAGTACACATTATGACGTGGCTTTAGTCATGAAAAATTCTTTAATTTGATGTTGCTTATAATTATAATATACTCTAAATAGTCTTCATAAAACTAAGTGAGGTAACTAATTAATTCAACCTTTGTGTGTGTGTGTGTGTGTGCTCCATACTAAAGTGTGAATTTGTTTCTTTTTTATTCAGCGCAAAGCCACTAATGGGGTATTTGCGCTCTGTCTATTGCAAGGAACTGAACCTCAGATTTTAGCGTTGTAAGTTCGTAAAGTTACCGTTGACTCGTACAAAAGCAACACTGGTGGATAATACATAATACATATTTTGCAACGCTCTACACTAAAAAGTACAAATCATATTATTTCTAAAACATCAGAAAATAGTTAGTGGTTGTTTTTTTTTTTTACAATTAACAATCCTTATATAAAATCAATTTTATCAATGAAAAAAAAATAATCTAGCTTGTTCTCGAAATACTATTTTTGTATAATTAGTTATTGTTCACTTTAATTACGAATGATCTACTATCAGATTACTCATAATTTAGGAAGACAATACCAAATTTCTTGTTATAACAACACAATTACCAGAAATGACTCCTTAGTAGTGAAGGTGATGGGATCTGCTGCTTCAACTTCGTGGCATGCAAACTGAAAGTTGCCATGGGGACTGACAACCTTGCTTCCAGTGGCAGCAAGTTCTATTAAGTCCAGATTTAAGCTATCTGCTAAAAACCGCACCTGCAGGAATGATATGGATTAAAAATTTAAGTTAAATAGACAGAAAACTCGTTCCACGTTTGCTTATATTTTACCTTCATTTTAATGCACATTAACATAACCAAAACTTGAGATACAATACATTACTAACTACATGAATTTGTTTTACCTTTCATGAAAGAATCGTATAGAAATATGTCAAGTTTCACAGAGTGAAAACTACATATTTATCAGATGGATATCGTGGTTGCTTAGTTTTTGATACAAAGCAGTAATGGTTATCTGCACCAAATGTGATAAAACTGCAGTATGTATAAATTTTAGACAATAAAAAAAACGTAATAATTAAAAATATATTCCTTTTACTTCTGGAATATAAATGTAAGTGAATGGCTTACGAATATGAAGTACTTTTTTTTTATAAATGGTTGTAAAGTTACTAAAATAAAAGAAATACATAGATGCAATACTTGTCAAAATAATGTTATTCTAGAATTCGAAATTTATATTTGATACTTTACCTTTTATTTATGACTCATAGGCTTGTTATTGAATGAAACTTTTAAAAAGTTTTTGATTTTTCAAGAGTGAAGAGATTCAATAACTATTTAGTAAAGACAGCATATTTTATATTTAAAATCATTCTCCTAACAACTTGTAAAGTACAGAAGAATGTTCAATTTAAGTTGAGCAGCTCTTTTTTACTCAGTCGTGATCATTAAGAATTTTTTTAGAATTCTCACCTCTAAGCTGCCATTCAAATTGGCAAGTTCACAAATGACGATATGTTTACAAGTTAGAAAGACTTTATGGCTTTAAATAATCAAATACACGTCCTTTCCTTACGAAACTTTCAAGCAAAAAACTGATAGAAGAGCTTAAAAAATTGAAATCTCAGAATACTGAAATTCATTTTCATTTTATTAACATTTTCAAAAATCTGTTATTACATTTTTTTTCTAATGATTGAGATCATTAAAAGATAAAGGAATTATTATCATCACTTGAAAACTTCCTGTTTCTGGTTGGGTTTACCGCATTAAGAAATATACCTTAATAATTATACTTTTAAATTATTATAATACACAGAAATAAGTTATTTTCAATTCAAAGTGGTCTTAATAAAGAAAAGAGAACTGGTGACAAAAGACTACAAGTCATTTTTTACAACTCGTGAACATTTTGTTTTGTACTAAAAAGAATACGTGACAACCATCAAAATTCATGTCCAAACCCAGAGGTTGGGTCAAAAGCGTGATCAAGTCCATTAACGAATTTTCTTTATGAGATATTTGTGAAGAAAACGTGTGTGAGTTATGAATGTTGCAAATATATACTTATAATTATTTGGATTAAATTTCTAAACCAATGATTTTTGCTAAATTTACAGTTAAATGTCTTTCTTTCTTGTAAGAATTCTCCAAATATATACATATTAAGCTCGAGTAATAAGTCTTGATAATAAGGAAACCCGTTGTTCCCAGCAAATTATTATTGACTAACGAAATCTGAATTGATGGTTTGTTATGTTACCGCTATTCATTGTAAACATTTTTTTAACTTTTACACTTTTACAAAAAAATAATAATAAATAAACACTAGCGTTAATGAAAGTAAAAAAAAAATTAAATATTTTATTTAACAATACATTAAATATCTTATGCACGTGTGATGGTGTTCATAGCTTTTATTCCAAGTTGGAAAGAACACTTACTTTTCGTAAACATCCAACAAAACTGATACGACTATGTATTCCTAGGTGTCCACTGGTTATGTTACTGCCTCCTACATATATCTGCTTGCTATACAAGAGGGTGAAGGTGCCTGCTGTGGAGCCACGTTGTGTGTAGACTCCGTCAACAGCAATAGAGAGCTATGCCAAAAATATAGATAAGTTATGTCTATACCCAAACATACGGAAAATACTTGATACTGGAAATGATTATGGAAACAGTGAATAAAATGAGTATCAAATGGAAATATTATGGGGGTGTCTGTCTTCCCTCTAGTTTACGTAAATGAACTACATCGGAGTACAGTAACGTGTTGATAGTTTACAATGCATGTTATTATCTCTTGTCCAACCAATCAGACCGTGCCACTCCAGGATAATGCATATAAACTATAAGCAGTCATACTGTTCCTAGCATTAGTGTGGTGATTACACTCGTGGCTTCCAGGACAGAAATGCAACATGATCAGATTGCAGAAATCAATGTGGCGAAGTTTCGTGTTTCAGTAGAGCTCTTTGGAAAACTCTATAGAGGGCATACGAAGCTAATATCATTGATAATGGATGCGGTCGAGGCGTGAAGACAAAAGTCTTCTAAAGTGATGCTAAGTAACTCAGGGTATGTGATATACGACAGTCCAGAAAAAGATCATGCCGCTGACATATTTGGAAGTATAGGTGAGAAAGTTACTTTCAGAATGGTAAGATACACATTAACAGGAAGTATCCTCAAGGGATGTGCAACTGCACAAAAACAAATACTGCTTGGTAAAGATAAACGAAACATCAGACTTAAAACAATGGGATGAAAGTTCATATGAATTGAAAGTGAATTAATTTCATCACACGGGTCATTAATAAAAATTAAGGCCTACAGACCAGCACATACTGCTGCTTTTCACGAACAAACCAAAGCCCACAAGTCATTTATCACAGCCATGAATGCAAGGCTTTCATAATGTCTTGAGCTTTGAAACTATACTGAAGAACAATAAATACTAATGTGTGAATCAAGGATTTCACTCTTCATTGTTTTCTTTTGATGGATGCACCTGGGTCTGATAACAACCTGAAAAAGAGTTTTGGACATAACTGTGCTATTTCTTTTGTGAAAACGCCGAAGATAGTGTTATAGGGTGGGCTTTTATTTCATCCATTTTGGACTTAGTCTACATGCAATAATTAAGATAGCCATGAATATTTTGGCGTGTTAATAGAATTACACAGAGAAACACCATTCCTCTTTCAGTACGATAATACACTGTGTCACACGTTCAGTTTAGCATTAGTTTGAGACAAACATCCCTCAGGAATCAGTCTTTCACAGAACTCTGTTATAAACATAATTGATTGGCTTTGGGGCATTTATAAAACATTCCCAAGGGACAAAAAGGACATGCCTCAAAAAATCACAAACAAGGAAATGCTTTGTAGGAAAAGTGACGGTCCATTCCAATAAACGTGTAACAACGGTTGGTGGCAGATGTTAGTTGCGGCTTTAATTAACGTCAAATGTGAGCCCACTCCCTGTTACAATAGGTCTCCAGCGATAAAACACGTCATCCTTTTTTTTGTCTGGGCGTGGTGTACGAACACATTTGGTAATACAATGCATTTCTCATTATACGTTAGTGTATTTAAAGCAAAAATACTGGCAATGCTGAACATATTTTTAAATTATTTTTTCTTTCGTCCATTACAATTTGCCATTTATTGTTTTAAGATAACATTTTGGATTACATTAATGATACCAATTAGTTCACACGAAATACGAAACTAATAAAACTCATATCATCACCAGCAAATTACCGAAACCCAAAGTAGTCATTGCGTACTGTCTGGTGAATTTTTGTGTAATAACGTGAGTTCCTATAAACCTAGCTAAAAGGAAATATAGTCTCTTAATTGCTCTTTCATAATGACAAAACGTAAGATCTATAGATAAAAACTGCTCCATTTTCTTACAATCTTACGATTTATAAATGTTGTCACAAAATTACGAAGATAAAATCACGTGAGGAAATAACATTAAAGCTCTTTAGATCGGTAGTTTGTGTAATATTACATCATTATAAGACGGATAATAGCTTTCACAAATCTTTCTTTGCTCGCCCAGTTTCCATAAAGAAAAATGTAATTACATTTGAAACTCACACCTTGTATGCCGCACGCCGCTGCTGACCAATTCCTTAGCTCACCAGGTCAGCTTGGCATGCAACACACAAAACCTCGGTCAAAATGCTATTTATAACAATCATGTATGGGATATTAATTCATATCATATATAATATATTTTCCTTATCTCGATCCCCCTGCAATCGGAAGTCTGAAAAATATTAAGGGAAAACAAGTAGCCGTGGAATAAAGATATTTTGTAATTGTTTTAATTCATTCTTTTTGACTTTTTTTCTTCTGAAGATGGAAACAAGTTTTGGTGAACTTCAAGTTCTTATAAAACGTTTTTTTTGAAATATCAAACACATCTGTTTATATAAAACTTAAATTGATAATTATCGCTAATTGTAATTTTCTTTCCCTTAATGCTAAATCGGAGGTTATTAAGTTAAGAATTGCTGTCTATTTTCTATCATTACCAAATGAAACGTTCCTCATATTACTAATACGAAAGTATCTGTCATTTATTAAGTCAAAGATCACTATCATTAACAAATCAAACATTTTATGTTATTTATCTAGATATTGATATAATTAATAACTCAAACATTTCTGTTATTACTACATCAACAGTTATTTGTCATTACAAGCAAAAAGCTAAATAAATTGTCTATTCAAAGATTACAACTGATGATAAATCAGACTTTCATATCATTAGTGATTCAAAGGTTTTTATTATTAATATCAGATTAATATTGAAAATAAATTAGATTTTCCTATTTTTAGTGAATGAAAGGATTTTATTATTAATATATCAGAGTGCAATATTAATAGTAAATCAAATTTCCTATCTTCAGCGAATGAAAGGTTTTATCACAAATATGTCAGAGTTTCTATTAATAATAAATCAGACTTTACTGTATTTAATGAATCAATGGTTTTTATCATTAAAAAGTCCGAGATTACAATTAATAATAAATCATTTTTCATATCATTAGTAAATACAAGGTTTTTATCATTAGTATATCAGAGTTCGCTATAAATAACGACAGGTCACTACAAAAATAAAGGTTTCTTTGTTGCTAAATCGATTTTTTTCAAAATTAATTTAAATGAATCTGTCGCTTCTAGTTTAAAAGTCACGGACACTTGAATAAGGAAGTATATTATGCTAATATAATAACAGGTAGACAAACAATGATTTATAAACATAAGGAAGAGTTTTATTGATGGTGAAGCATACTACATGTTTTGACAAAACATTGGTTTGTTTTCTTCAGAAACGTTTCGGCCATTATTTAATTAAATATCTCTTTTGTGTGTGTGAACACTATATTATGCTATTTTCAACAATAATCATACTGAGCCAATACTAAATTTCAAGTTCATGCAAACATTTAAAAGTTTCAGTCATTAATAAATCAATTGTTTCTTGGAAATTAAAAAACAATGTTTCTAACGAAAACAAATGATCAATATTAAATCAAAATTTTCTTTGTTAAAAAAAAAAGACACTATGATCACGTTTTACGATGATTTTAGTCAAACCAATCATGCTGTGATTACTTCCAGCAAAATAACCCACCATCAAATGAAATTGGATTGTTTTCTACTGTGTACATTGTTAGTTCATTTATATAATATTTACAAGTATCGTTGAAATTGCTTTTTTTTTTAAATGTTTTTAAATCTAACGAACAATTTTTCTATAAATAGTTTTCATAGCTACGTGATTTCTGTTATACCTTTCATAGGAAAATTATTTCTACGAAACAACGTTAATGTATGGACGCTAAATTATCATATGAGCTCAACCAGAACTAACTAAAACGCTGCTCTAATGATTAGGCAACTTGTAATTCGAAGTAAACGCAAGCCTTACCATACAGCTAGAACCATTATAAACTGATGAGTTATATTTCCAAATACATTGAAAGAAGTGCTAAAATAGTTCTTTCAGGCATAGTTTAATAAACAAAAAATATCGACAAAACATTTATAACCAGATTAAACAAGAGAAAATGTAACTTTTGAGAACAAATGTTCACTCTCAACCATTAAAGAAAAAATGAAATTATTTCATAAAATAGTGGTTAATGATGACGAGAATGCTATACATAAAATAGTGGCGTTTCAAAAATCAACGTAACTTTATTAACTGTGTTATTTATCCAACGTTGGTTTTATCTGGAATTGCCAACTGATATATTTTTATGAAAATAAGCTGATTTATCGATGACTATGTTAAACGAAAACGATTTTCTTCGTACTATTTTGTGTGTGTGTTTTAGATTGAAATATGTGTTTGTCTTCAACTTTAACAGTTCTTCTTGAGATACAGAGCAGCATCGCGAATCTTTCAAAACTGCAGAACGTAAGCGCAAATAAACTATTTCTTTAGTCAGTGCCTGTTGTTCATTTACAATGTTAAAACATCCAATATAAATACGTTCCGAGCACAAAATAATAAAATACAGTTACATAAATTGAATTCATGAACTAGTGTTTATCACTAGCTTTCACCCAAAGAATTTTGGGAAACTGGAAGGTGTTTCTAAGTATTTGGAAATAACTGGTATTGATATTTTTGAACTATGATATTTTCTATGTTTGGCTGTTGAAAAACATCAACAAAAAGTATAAACAAGACGGATATGTGTGAATACATCATGCCGTGTACGTATGGGATATCTTAATAGCATTCCCACCACGATAACCATTATAACAAATGGTAGAACTCTTTCACTTAGCACACACTGCCGAATCAATTCTTCCCCCCCCCTCTTCCTAGAAAACGATACTCCCTATAGATTAATATAAACAGAATCACACGAGAATATGAAAGAACAGCCGACGATAATACCTATTCGGTGCACCGAATGCATCTTTAAGTAGATAGTGTTTATTATTGACGACAGCGATGCACGAATGACGTGCAATACAAAAGTATACCATAGTAGAATTAATGGATATTAGTTGATTTTCCTCGCCATTCCACCACATATAAGTTTTCTTGGTTTTGCTTT